ATATACATCACACATATATATATAATATACATACATATACATACAGTATATAACTTGCTCAGTTTCCAACCGATTTTAAAACAGTTTTGTTTGGTGTAAATGTGAGAGATGTTATAATACACATACTTAAACTGGATGTTCACATGTAAAGAACGCTCTGCAGATACTGTAGGTAAAGCAACTGCAATATACACAATATGATTATATTTACATGTATGCATGCTTATATATGGAAAAATTAACTGACATATTTTTGAATGCTGATAAATAGTCAAAAGGGAAAAAATTGTATAGGTCTTCTGGACGGGTTCTTCTCTAATGAAACGTTTCGTCTCTCCTCCAAGAGACTTCTTCAGTCTGCGAGTTTCAGGCAAAATTCAGGCTTTTGAGTCCTGCCTCCATGTGACTGATACTCACATCACCTGGCTATCGCTCACAGGTGACTGATACTCACATCACATGGCCATCGTTCACAGGTGACTGATACTCACATCACATGGCCATCGTTCACACCTAATTAATACCTATTGTTAACAGGGGGTGGAGTGTGTAGCGAATTACTCTATGAAATTAGGACCAGCCTAACCTTCACAAAGATAATCCCTCAAGATCTTGCAAAATGAAATCAGGTTTTAATGAAACACACCTCTGATCATGAATGAGAAAATGAAAACTTGTGACCTGAACAGATTTCTCAAAATAAAGTAATTTATTTTAGATATATGAACAGATTAAACATACAAGCATTTATTAAAAATATTATATGAATAAGTGACACAAGTTATATATTTTTGGCATAAAAATTCCACTCAGAATTGACAAAAACAGTAAATTTCAGGTGTTGTAATTTACTGGTACGCTACTTGACTAAGTWTTTAAGTAAATAAGAGAGAAAAAGGTAAAGATTTAAGTTAAGAATAGGAGGAAAAGAAGATTAGTGAATTTAGCACTTGTTCTTTAGATTAGGAACCAGGCCAGCCAACAGCGTCAGGACCAGACATCTCCGAGGGCTAGACTTCAGCTTTTATCTCAGTAAACGTGTTTCTACCTTTTAGACGTCTTCCGTCAATTGAACAGGCAGGCAGGTAGAATGTTTTGAGAATGACAGCATGCGAAGTCCGCAGGATGATGTCTCCATGAC